ATACTAGTATATGGTATGCCTTATATCGCAATCTTTTCTTTCTTTCTTTTGTGCTGTGAATCTGTATTGCGATATGTATTGCATGTATTGGATGTAGTGTTAGTGTAGTTCCGCTTATCGTTGAGAGCACACCGTTTTTAAAACTTCTTATCTCATTGGGTAAGTGTATAAATGTGTGGCATCTGCACAATCACCACAACATCCACTTCTGCATCCATACATCCAATATACACATCCATAGATAGATAGAGAGCCGCACTGTATGTCTGTATGTATGCTATGTATGTATGCATACAATATTCTGTAGTATAGTCTGTAGAGTACATGCAATTACATTAGGAATCGTATGCCAGTAAAGAGTTGCTCTTAATTTGTTGCAATCGTCTAATGGTATAAAACACAGTTTATAGTGTTAGTAGTAGTGTTGCCACACATTAATATTATGATCCACTTAACACTCACTAGAATTTAATCCAAATTAATGATGAATGAGTCGCGAGTAAAACATTTAATTAATTACTAGTAATTATAGTTAGAAATAATTACATTTAATGTAACTTATGCTACAATGGAATCCATTTGAGTCTACATTTGCAGTGAGTTAGCCCTGCATTCATGCAATACATGTTAAATCATTCAAATAAATTACTTTCACTTTGAGTGCAATTCTCTGAGAGACTCTCCGCCAACAAATTGTACTCTTGTTTACAAATGCTTTACTTATTCTTCAGCCTTATGTCACACCTAATGCCATGATTTGCATTAAAATATGATTGTTTTTCTGAGTCATAATCTAATTAATTTTCAATCAAAAATCATTTCTCGTTTCAAGGCTCGCATCGATACACAGCAGGCTTTCGCTCATTTGAATGACAAGAATATTATATTTCAAATTTCATTCAAACTTATCGAGTAATCTTATGCCAAGACACAACTGTTGGATATAAATAAAATATAATTGAATTTTGTGTCTATAGTATAAATTAAATTCACTCATTACATAAAAGCTATAATTTTATCCATTTATAAAGATTCTATAAAAATAAATTCAATATTTTAATAATTATATGTTTTTTAGCGAAAATGAAATCATTTATTGTTAAATTGTGAAATCACTTTGTTTTCGATGCATACAATTAGCTATTATAGATATGATTAGACTCTATAATTAAGTCATTTGATATGAAAATTTGTCAAATTGTCGGAACAAAAGTCATAAAATATAATTCAATGCTATATTTATTGTGTTTCAAAAAGATTATAAATGAATTTCAATGGTTTGACATATCAATGAACGGCAATGTCTGTAGTGCTATAGAATAGCCATTATTATATTATTTAATCTCCAGTCATAGCCTACAGGTATATGTCTACACAGGTAAGTCAGATCTATGGTAAAAATTGTAGTGTATTTATACAAACATAAGGGAAGACTATGTATGAGACTATGTATGAGTGAAACTGAAACTCAAAGCGTAACGATTACTCGTTAATAGTTTGTTTGGAGCTAAATATTTTGCTATAAATTAAAGCCTAAGAAAAATGAGAGTTTTTCGTAATCATCAATCATTTACCATAAAAGTGGTGGTAGTGATGGTGTCGTCCCCACACAATGGGCTCAAACAATATGACTCTAAATGCAGAGAAATTATGGGATTGGAAAGCATTGCATCCAATTCTTTAGAGATAATTTTTATTTTAACTATTTTTTGGATCAATCTATCAATAAATACATTCTTCGCTTTCTTCTAATCACAAAATAACTATAATTATTGCAAAAACTTATTTAAAATAATTTCCCAGAAAATGTGAAAATAAATTAAATTTTTCGGAACAACTTTATGAGAATTAAAATGATAAATAAAACTGAATTTTAAGAGTTTTGTGCCGAAATAGGGACAAAATCATGGGAACCATATTATTGATAACACATTCATATTATTCATATTGAAATGAGAAGAGACCTGAACTGAACACTCAATTTCCTTAAACTTAAACATATAAGTGTTTGATTCAAACATTTTTCATATTCATTTGTCAGAAGTCATAGTTATTGAAATGCATTCAAACATAGTGTAAAACATCGACAGATGGTTTGCTTTTTTAGACCATATCCTTATCGGTCATATCATTGATTGGGTCCTCCATTACTGATACGTTGTGTACGACTGTGACGGGGGAGACGTACAGACACACAGACATAGAGTACTACAGTAGAGGACATACTATACCCCGACAATCGCTCTAAAAGCTCAGTCATATTCAAAAGCTTTGAACAATATTTGACAGGTTTATATGAATTAGAATTACGTTTATATGCATTTCTATCATTCATTGTCTAATAGAATATTACTGTTGAATATAAAGTTATATCAAATAAGTTATAATTCACTAAACATTGTGTAAAAAGCTATTTGGAGGTACAATACATATGGCTTATCGCACTTTTTACCTTTCATTGCGAAAAATAGGCAAAAGTGAAACTGACTGTTGAATGTGCGGTGCGTTTGGGTGTTGTATAGCTAAAGGCATTGTTTCTAACAATATATACACTAAAAGTATATATCATATCAATATTTGCCGTTTATATTGAATGTGGGGTAAAATTAATATAAGAAAAGGTGCAGCACTGGTATACTATACAGCACTGGTAGGGATGAATAGTGAGATGAGATGATAGAGTAGTGGAGCACTGGTAGTGCTGACAGAACAGCATCCCATTGCTTGCATTCATTTCCTGAATTCATGTTTAATCGATGAAGTCTTTGCCGCATTTCGATGTCTGCTTTCGGTGTCCATTTATTTTAGTGCCAAAACTATTGCACAGCTATTGTTACGAAAAGGGCGTCAAAGCATAAAAAGAATACAAAGATATTAAGAATTGATATATAGTTGTAATGTAATAATACTTTGAAAGTAGTATAGAAGGGAAGGGGAGAGCATAATGTGCTCCAACACCCCACCCAACACAACACAACACATTCTTTTGTATTCCGTTTCTTCATTACATTTATTTCTATTTGCATTTGTTATCACTTTGTCTGAAGTTTTTCTCTACATTTATTAAATGTCACTTTTTTTGTTCAAATAATAATAGTTATGCGAATATTAATTCAACATAAAGTTAATATAAATGTGATGTTCGTATGAATATAAGTGTATTAATACAAAAGTCTAATATTAATACCGTTTAGTGCACGTAATCGTTGCTATACTTTATCGTAGATTAAAAACTCTATACTTCAGAGAATACAGAACTCATTGAAAACCGAATTTTCCTTTTTTTCAACACAACTCTAATGTTATGGAAAGGGAGTCATTAGAAGGGACTCCTCATCCCTACCAAACATTTCATTACTATTTTCCCATCAGAACTCAATTCTTAGGTTTTTTCCAATTTTTTAATTTCATCATTAGTTTTGAGGCAAAAATTAATGTTTCGGAGTCTAGTCTTAATATAATTCTCATCTCTTTTTAATTCAATCGATAAATTCCTTCTGCTTTTGCACTCAAAAAATCATTTACATTCAGTTCAGAAACAAATTATTGATCCAAAAACGAAATCAATCTTTTTATTTGAATCATTAAATCGTTTAATTTGAAGATATTTTTCAAATCAAAACATATTTTCATTCAAATAAAGTTCTCTTTCCCTCAAAAGGCTGTGTATTTTCGTGTTATATTCAATCGCATGAATACTTCATGTATTTATAAAAAATTTAAAGTTTTTCTTTTTCTAAATTTATACAGTATTTTAATAATTTATGCATTAATTAAATTTACATTAATGCACTAATATTATTCATAAAAACATACATTTTTACAAGTATTAGATAAATAAATACATTAATTTAAAGTTAAAAATATTAAATTCTAAAACAAAAAACTGGTTGAACTGAGTGTTGTGTCCAAAACGTGGTGTTGGTTGTGGTGACGACCCTCTCCTATGACCCCAGAGTTGTATGCTTTCAGACCGTATCTAAAGTATTCATTACAGTTTGCCTCACAATCTCTATATAATGATGAAATACAATGCAAAACAACAAACAATTAATTATTCATTAAATTAATAATTGAGTTTATATTATGTGTATTAGAGATGTGTACAGAACTGACATCACTTCAAACCTGACCCCATCCTAGAAAGAGGTCCAAAATTGGCCACTTTTTATACATGCATATCAATTACACACAATTATATATGGCTTCAATATATCACAACTTGTTTTGTTTTATTCTGCAAATTATTAACAGATTGTAATACAGTTTACTTCAAATTCAACTTCAATTTACACTAAAGTAACTTATAATGAATAGCATTCAATCTATAGGAACTTGTCACAAATTCTTTATAGTCTATACTTAACTCCAGTAGAATCACACGTTTTATAATAATAAAAGTTATAAAACTGTTTTAAATGTTTTCAAATTAAAGAGACCAATCAAGAACTATATTTAATCAATGGTAGGATTCATTGTATAATAATAATATAATTGTGATTACAGTTAATTCAAGAATCACGACAAAAGTATTCATACAAAAGTGTGCCTAAACTTTGCAAAATGTGTCGAAATCTAGTGTTTATATTAATAGTTAAATTCTTGGTGTCTAATTTGATCCTTTATACCACTCATTGACATATAATTTAATTACAATCAAATAAACAGTGTTTTACTATTTTAAATTAGGGATAAATTTAACGGATAATAAGAATAAACTTATAGTTAGATTGACAACAATTTGGGGCATATTATGTGAACCCTCTATATCTGTTTCCTTTGTAATCACAAATAATTAGACACTTTATGTTAAACTAGCAACTTTTTAAAACACAAATAACTTAGAAACTGTCAAACTACTTGTATGTAAGCAAAAACGATAGAATAACAAGGTATAAGTTAGCATGGTAAGCAAGAATATGATATGACCAATGTCATATTTAGGGAATTGGATGATATAGCAGTGCATGGAGACAGTGGTGGCAGCTGTTGGTGAGTGTCGTGATGAGTGCACTACAGATGACAACATAAACACAATTAAGTGATCATTGAATTGGTTTTTGTCCGCAATTTTGCATTCAATTCAAGTATATCTCTTCACCAGTGATCACTTGACTCTAAATAATGGCAACTCTTGTGTACAACTCTTTGGGTTTCTGTAAGTATTGTCTCAACCATTCATTGATTGTGTTTAACATATGATGTGTTTGTGGTTTAAGACAAGATTCCCATAACGAAGACATTGCTGTCATCACTGATGTTGAGTTGCGGTGCACTTCATGTGCCGATTGTCGCCAATTATAGACATCTTATGGTCTGCAGTGTCAATGACATCCTCTTCAGACATCAGGTTTCATACAATTGTTGTCCTAATGATTGATCTAATGATTGATTTGATTGAATGGTGTGACAGTTGTGGCGACTGATGGTCTCGAAGATGGTGTTCGCAGACATGAAAGACATGGTCTGCGGATGTCTTCTACTCTATTACTTACGTGTCTTTGAGCGCAGGTTTGGATCAAACAAATATTCGGTGAGTTTTGCGTCAAATCAGTGACCATTGAAGCATCTGATGGCATGTCTATGTCTTAGTCCTATCTGTTGGCGTGTTTTACCATCTCTTCACTACTGGAAGTGTCATTAGTCTGGGCTCTCAATGCACTCAATGTGACAGACATTGAATACTTAACGCCCGGACCGTAAGTCCACTCAACTCTATATGCACTGAATTTCACGCAAATGTCTCCCTTTTATAGATTTAATATAATATTTGCACTTTTCGTCAACTATTACTTCGATGTCCCGGCGCTACACAGCACACCATTCCTGGGAATTCCTATAAACGCTAAATCCTTGACATACCTCCTCGGCCTTCAGGTTTGACCACAATTTCACATCAATTAATACACAAAATGATAATTAAATTAAACTAATGATAATGTGTCTCAGATTATCTAAACAATTTGGCTTTTGTTCTATAAATAACCTAGAATATTTTAATAAGTTTGATGTAGCAAAGTGTGATCTTAATGTTAATCACTATGAATTCAATACCAATTACTGTATCTAATAATTGTTTCATAATTACTAGACATTGCATTGCATGACATGTTTGTAATGGTATTTAACGTTTGAATGGTTTGTTGTGATTCAGGCGATGATATCGACGAACAGTAGTATTGTTTGTGCCGTCTCTGGACTCGTAACGGGTTTCATCTGTCGCTGGAATGTCTTCCATGTCTGCGATATCATCAAAGTTCCCAAATGTGTGGCGTCTGTAGTGAGCAAAGTGTTGGGAGGGCTCTTGTGTTCGGGACCACCGGCCGAGAGTCCCATACAAATGGGCGCCACGTTTGAGATCCAAAGACAACAACAGATAGAATTAGCGGAACAACAGATGCTTTTCAGCCGATTTGCAGAAATGAATCCACGAAACGATTCAAATGTCTTTCCAAACCGACGGCAAAACGATTTAAGCGCGCAGTCGTCCAGCGCTTCTGCCAATTCTGAAGCGAGCGGTTCCACGAATGCCGAACACGTGACCACATTAGTGGAGATGGGGTTCAGCCGGCAGAACGTGGTTCGAGCCCTTCAGCGGTCCAACAACGACATGAATTTGGCCACAAATATACTTCTCAGCGAATCGTAACTCTTTTAGTTATAAATTCATATTTTTGTTAATTTATTAAGTCTTTGATCTTTTTAACACTTCATTTGTATATAGGATTTAATTTTCGATAATATTTAATATATTGTAAAAGTGATTAAAAATATATTGAAATTTAACAATTTCTAACATCGATTATTATATTTAAAGTTGATTTATAGTAGTTGACAGTAATTAATATTTCAAATTTTTTAAGTTTTATAATTTTAATGAAAGATTTTTTCATTAAACTATTTTAAGATGATTGAATAATTTGAATATTTTTTATGCAAACTACTTAAGCGTTTAATTTTGTTTTTTGTAATTATAAATATAAATTATATTTATCTTAATACCTTAAGACGTTTTTGGATTTATATAAAATAATTTACATAAAATGGATTTGCAGTTTTATGCGACCTCAAGTCAACATTGATTAATGTGATAAATTATTACTATTCTTAATAATGTGTTTATAATTTTGAAATTACATAAAACTAAACTTTTCTTTGAAATCATATTAAGAAAAGTGAGAAATAAACTCATTATTGTTTCATTATTTTCATCAATTTTCGTAATAGATTTATCATAAGTATTGATTTATAATATAAATTTTATATACTGTATAGTATAAGACAACATAATATTATTAATATCTCTAATAGAGAATAATTATAATTTTTAAAAATAAGTGAACAAGTATAGCATAAAAAGATTAAATTAAGAAAATTGCCTTGATTATTGCATATTATGGTATTTGACTGAACTTGCATTTAAATAAAAGCTATTCTAAACTTAAAACCTGTAATAAACTTGAAATAATGTTTGTAATAATTATAATAATGAAGTGAATGTGATATTCTTGGGAGAGATGCCATGATTTTCAGCAACTTTTTGAGTGAAACAGTAGTGGAAAGACTCTGAATCTGGTCTCATGTGCTCTACTATTGAGTAAAACCAGATTCAGATAAATAACTGCATTATAAACATACAGTTTATAAGTTATATAACATATACTGTTGTAATGACCTTTCATTTGGCATTGAATGGCATTCAAATGACATCCAAAATGAGAGGAATGAAGATCACAATCGGATTAATTCCCGGATTTGATAAATAAGACGACATTTAAACACATTTTGTCTTTTTGGTTAAAAACAAATTCAAACCTATTTAACTACAAGTTTTGAAACTAAAATCAATTTGGATTTAATTTAGCACTTATGATGATTTCCATAAATTATAGGCTTTGATAATTACTAAATTTGTCAAACTATTGCTTAAACTATCCGATTGGTTGAGAACTGACTTTATTTTGAAAAATTTAAATAAAGATTTTTTAAAACTGAAATATGTCTAAAAGTCAATTGGGATGTGTAAGCAATTTAATGAAATACTTTCTTTTTGGACAAAATGTCTTTTCAGACAATATTTGATAGAAGATTTCTATTAGAAATGCACACTTACTGTATAAGCCATATATCTCTTGATGTTAGCGAATAAGTACACTAAGTATAGCTAACTTCTGACCCAATAGTGAATCGCATCCTCTTCTGTGACTTGAATTTCTGGTAATTTTAACAAAAAAAGTTACGATTTGTTGCTCTATATTAACGGCACATATAAAACAGCGTTCATTCTCTCTGACAAACACTTACTGACATTATTCTCAACCATTATTTTGTCTTTTATTTGATTCCAGAGATTATTCATTTTATAACAATGTATTCGTTGAGAATTACTTTTGCATTCTTTACTATTTGTTTGTTTCAAATGTCATTTTGTCAGCGCTTTGGTTCGGGTCCCTGTCCTATAGTCAAACCACACTCTGATTTTGATAAGACTAAAGTAAGTTTCTTAACTTTGTAACTTGGTAACTTTTCAATTCTTAATTTAATTCTTTCACCATAATTACACTATCACTAGTAATTTAAACTATCATGAATTTGTTATGTTATGTATAAATTGGTGTATATTTGCTACAGTTTTTCGGTCATTGGATTGAAGTGGAGAAGTCGCCCTCCATTTTCGATTTAGTCATGAGATGTATTTCCGTCGACTACTCAGGTCTGAGCAAAACTCAATTGTTAACATAACATCACATTTAAGTAAGAATTAATTTTATAATAATTACAGATGATAACGACGGTAGCATTAATGTAGCGGTTCGGGGCACCAGTCTGTATGCACTCATCTACTTCTCAATGAAACATTTTGTTTCATAATCTTTTGACTCAACTTTGTTTCATAATCTTTAATCTAATCACTAGAGCCGGACTCCCACTAACTGTAAATGGCGATGGATTACCTCAAGACGTGTCGAGGAATGGTCAGTACAGTGTTAGATATGGCTTCGGAGTGCCATTTCAGGGCACTTACATCACGGTTATAGACACTGATTACGATGATTACGCGGTGATCTACTCGTGCACCAACTCCCTTCTCCCCGGCGTCTTCCACACAGGTATACATTATTTTAATACATTTTTCTTTTCTTATCTATTTATTCAAACTCATTCATACAACTAATTAGTAATGAATTTTCATTTAGAGTCATTTTAAATATTCTATATTATTCAAAGTCATAATTAACCATTTATTTAAATTATCTTCAATTTAATCCATTCAGTTTAATTAAAATAATAAGTATTTCAAAAATTAATGCAAAATTATTGCATAACTGGTTTGAAATGACCATTTTCTACTAATAATCAATACATAACTTCGATTTAATAAAAACAAGAATATTTTCGAAATATATATTTCAAAAATTGCTAGATAAGGGCTCACGTTTAGGAATATTGAATAACAAATTGCATATGATGGCATATTTTTGAAAAATTTCTAATTTTGCTAATGACGTGAACCACTATATAATTATTGCCTACATTTGACCCCAGAGTACGTATGGCTGTTGTCTCGAGACGGAACCCTATCTAACCCTTCGCGACAAAACATTTACGAGCATTTGGATCGACTGAAGATCAATAGAGTTGGTCTCCAACTGAGCGAAAGGAGTGCTTGTGTCGGACGGAACACCACTTTAAACAATAGAGAGAGCGATGAGGATCTCATTCAAGGCACAACTCTTAAACCATTGCCAACATCTGCTCCCTCGCCCATTGCAGGCGTTTAAATAATTTACTTTTCAAAACACATTCATTTCAATTAATTTATTTCAGAGATAATTATAATTTATAATTCAGTTCACCTGGAAATTGAACACTTAATGAGTAAATTATATTAATTCTATTACATATATATTTGTTTTTATAATTAATTCAGTTTGAGTGCTAATTTTGTCAAATATTTAATTAACATTTAAATTAATTCATGAAAATTATGTTTTTTGGATAACTTTTAAGTATGTTTTGCAATAAAGATAATACAATATATTAAAAATAAGAGGCGATCGATGAAAATAAAGACCAATTGCCACTCTTTTTCAGTTGATTTCATTTGATCGGACGGATCGGACGGTGCCTCGTCTCCATTGAACTCTTCGGGTGTCAGTTGCATGTGATCTGAACTCAATTGTTTGCTTTCATTGAGACTAATGCATAGAATATTAGCCACAACTCCAGACAATATGTAATTCGTAACGAAATGTGGAATTTTTATATTAGAATTAAGACATAAGAAAAATAAATGTTGAGATAAGGCAGAGAAACTCAACGCCAGTCCAACCAAAAGCACCAAAAGACTCAGATTTCTAACTGTTATTGAAATTGATTGAAATTATTACAAATTCAATGTAAATATTTCAAATGTAATTAAGTCTTTAATTATGATAATTATAAATTATGAACTAAACAATAAAAGTTGTCAAATAATAAATTGCTTTTATTGAATGAGCAATGAATGAAAGAATACCTGCAAAGGGAGCTCCAAACGAGGCCGATCCTAACTGTAGTCCCAAATACAATAAAGTACTTAAACTTATAAACAAACTAAACATGTAATATCAATAAGAAGAAAGCTAATTAGTTGTATTCATATTTGTTAATATATCAAACCTTATAGATCCTAGAGTTGAACGAATGCTGGAATGGGAGGGCAACCAAAAAATGGCCAAAATTAAGGTCATTGACGCAATTGAAGGCAATGTTATTAAATAATAATAAAACGATGTATTTCTGTTTTGTAGATTTAAATTAATTAGTATTAAAACAAATAATAAAACAATTTTGCAAAAAACCTCTTAAGTGTAAGAGTGATACCCAATGAAGTATAGACTCCATAACCCCCATAATCATAATCGTGCCTTAAAACAATTAATAATTATAATATAGTTATTGTTTAAAGATTTATAAAATAAGCTTGTATATATATATATAAGCAAACCGATGCGATGCTGAATCAACGACATCCCACTCAGCATTTGTATACCAAATACCCCCCGTCCAGAATTCATGACCTCCAGTGGATATTTTATATTCAATAAATTCATACAATTTATTCAATATTCAATAAACAAACCTAATGTTGTAATATTGATGTGTTCCTGGCTATGGCTCCATGAGCCAAAATATATATCACACGTCTGTTTATCGTAGGGATAGTCAGATAAGTCCACATCACATGAGGTCCGTATAGAACCGGCCGGTACCCTAATATTGAGAGGTTCCCACATTTAATGTCATATTTCAGATAAATTGCTTCAATTCATACAAACCAATTGGCAGTGCCATTAGACTTCACTATTATGTGAGTCTTTGCTAAATTCTCATCTAAATTAAATCTTTTGGTAATAATTAATTATTATTAACATTAAATTGGAGTTAACTTGATTTTTAAATTTATACAAAATTAATCCGTTGTAAGTTATACAACCAAAATAAGCTTAGTTCTTAGTTTAAGCCGTTGCTTTAATAAAGTTATAATAGTGTTTAATCTTTTATTATAATTAAATTGTATATTCAAAAATGAAAAAATAAATGAATTAAATATGAAGACATACCCGTCCGCACTGTTCCACAAAGAGATGTCTGGTCTCCACAACTCGTCGCAACCAAAATGTATTTCCTTTATTAGAGATAAACATTATTATTATTATTATTATTATTATTATAAAGTGTTTGATAAAAGAATTATGATTTTCATTATTTTTATAAAGACTTTAAACATAAAGTTATGATCAAAATGAGGTCAATTATGTCTACATTTTTTGTTCACTAGTTCTTCGTTTTATTTTTGATTTAGTAATTTAATAATAATTAATATTTTATGAAATTATAAAATAACATTTTATATTTAAGAATTTTATCAAATACCCATTGTACAATAACTATAATAAATTTTATATTAACCAAATATTTAATGTAATTGCAAAATTTATATTTAAAATTAAGCAAAAATATTTTTAAATAATATGTTTTTTGCTTTAAAGCCCAGAAGTTAGCTAATAAAGCATTTATTATTATTTCAAACCATAAACACAGATTTGTTTTGGTGACAGATATCGATTTAAATACGAGTTCAATGTTAAACTTGAAGGAAAATATAAAAGTCATTTAATGACTCTTTAATATGTTGTATAAAAATCAAAATGGTTTGTGAGCTGCTCTTCAGGACCTAACGTTTATCTCTAAAATTCTTCATATCTTTTAAAATTTAAAAATTAAATCAAAATAAAGAATTTAAGAGTTTTCCGCATTTAATTCATTTCCTTTGAGTTAATTGAATAAAACATAATTACATTTAATCCCTGAAATTCATTTGGATTCCAAGTCAAGTGCTCATCCATCCAGACCTATAATGAGACCCAAATTCACTTCAGTCTAGTTTAAAATTCTTGACAAAAATCACATAAAAGTGTTTACCAAATGTAGCCATACTTCGGCCGTTAGTATGTGTTTAACGATATCCTAAAGATTGAATAGGAATTGAATTTGAATAAATTTATTATAATATATGTGAAATATTTTGTTATGGATGTCTAGTTTTACCAAATCTGTCAAATGAGTGATACTCATAGACATCTGAAGCCAAGTGGGGGTTTGGTGTTGTTTTACCGGTCGACTCCACTTATCATACTTACGATTTTCCAATAACTCTTTCCTTAATCTTTTTATTTGTATCAAATCATCTGAAAATAAAATTTCTATTTAAATATCAATAATTGCTAATAAAACTTGCAATGAAATTATATACCATCGCATATAACATATGAAACTACAATTAATAACTCAAGCACATAAATAATTATACGCATTTTCATCTTATAAATTTTTTATTATTTCTTAATTTTATTTTCAGATATTTCCAACAAATAATTAAATAAAATGTGTACAAAAGTTGAGATAAAATGTGTACGGGTTTTAGATTTCCAAATTCATTGAATTTTGTGGGAGTTTTTCGTAGTGTTTTCATGAAATGTATTAAATTTCAAAAGAAATAATGAAAAAAATATTTATTACAATAAATTATTTGTTTGAAAAATTGATTTTATGTTTGTAATTTTGTCTGTATTTTACTGAACAATTTTTAACGAGTAAACAAGTAACTTTTTATCAAATCAAATTAAATTTAAATTAAATCTTTATGGTAACTCTAAATAAGAGTTATAAGCTAAATATCTCTCAATTTAACAAAAAATTAATAACACAATGATAGTACTTTTATTTTCAAATATATTTATACTTTACACAACAGTGTTTTGTCTTATTTTCTATTTTAATCAATATAAAATTATTTTTCAACATTTAGTTTATGGCTATACTAGAACTTAGCACAGTATGAGGAGTTAGTGTAATTTACAGCACCCTTTGGTGAGACTACCTGTCCTATGAATTTATGAATGAATGATGTGTTTGTTGGGCACTTCTATTCTTTGATTCAACTCATGTATGAATGGTTTGCATCACGTGTTTGCTCCAGACTTTAGAAAAGACTGACTGGACTGACCCAAACACAAACACAAACCCAAATACAACCACAAACACATACACAACTCAACAAAAACTGGAATTTCAGTTCTTTTTATGTCTTCAAATAACTGACACATTATTTGACTGATAATACATTTGATGTGTTTATAGTTTAAAAATCAATTGAAGTTATTTTCTATTCTCAACTTATCAGAATATGTGTTATAAGGCACCAAATAAATATTTTTAAACTCCCAATACTACTTATAAAGTTTCCAATAAAATTGTGTTATTAATATAAATAATCTTTTCCCAAAACAGATTAACTTAAAATTGAACAAAATATTGTACAAAGTAACATTTGTATACTTTATAAAAACATTTCATTTATTAGTGTCTCAAAAAATCACTCATCCTATAAGTTTGCTTTTAATTGTCAATAAATTGAGTCAAAATCATTTTAAATAATTTAGTTATTAATCAAAAAACAATACAAAAGAATCGTTTTTAATATATTAATGAAACAATTTTTTATATTTAATAACAACCGCCTGACCGCTGGCCACCAAATCTTGTGATTTCACTTAAACTTACAAAACAAACAAAAAACATTTGTTGCGATTAATTATTAACTTATCATACATTAGAATAACAATAATTGAAAATACAAATGAATTAACTCCTAAAGAATATTTACAATACATATAATATAATAATTGAATTAAAGACAAATTATTTGAATTTTTGTAAAAATTTTCTCTTTAAATAAAAAACAGGTTTAAGTAATGGATAGTACTGTTTGGGACTACTGTTAGGGTTTCTTTAGTAATGCATTTGAATTGAATTGACACACAATTAAGCACTTGTTTGTTGCAAATGTTGCATACGATTGGATCAGTGAATGAGTGAATGAGTCCTCACTATCAGCTCATAGACAGGCATATCATCAGCAAACAGATGAACACATCTCTGAAATTCAAAACTCATTAGATCTCTGTTTATATGAATATAATAAATAAATTATTAGTCGATTTGAAGATGATTTCGTCAAACTTTTATTGACTTTTTTGTAGAAATATTTGTAGTAATCATTGAATGGATGAATGCGAGAGAGAAAGGGAGAGAGTTGTCATGACTTGAGCTTTGGATGCGATGACGACAAGCAATTTGTTAGCGAATAGTGATTAGTGATGGTTAGGGAGGAGGAGGAGGTGATCAGCGTTTTGTCATTTGCACGTGTGATGCATGTGATGGTGGTTTGGCATACGTTCGCATGTCGTAGGAAAAGGTGGGGGCGGACAGGGCGGTCAGTTTGCTGCTCGACTCTAATGATCTTTGCCTTAAGCAAAGAAATACTGAGAATAGACACGATATGAGAAGAATGACGATTAAGATAACGACGGCTGATGTGAATCCGATGAGTGACATACAGATGACGTCACTCTCATCTGATGTCTGCGACAGAAGAGGAAGTGATTCGTTCTGAAGAGTGAAAGACAGATCTCCGGCTGACACCACTTGTATGATACGGTTGAGGCCGACTTGAGTGGAGTCGTGTTTGTAAGTGGAACTGGCGATGATATGCCGGTCCATATGCCGGTCGACATCTCGCTCTTCTCTCGGCTTTCCAATGGAGTGGAAGTTGTTTTGTCCGCCGTTTGAACCGCTGTATAGGTTGACGATGTCTGCGGGCGGGCCCTGATGTTGGGTACACTGCTCCGGACACTGGAACCGACAGATTTGGATCGTGCACTGGAAGTGTACTTCCATACTGTCCGGGAATTTGAAGGCCTGGAAGTGTGTGTACGACAACACACTAGCACTCGATCCGAAGTTCTTGATTTTGGTGAATCTACTCATGAGTTTGGGTCTCACAATACATCCCATGCTATCAACCAATTCAATGGGCGCTCGTTTGCCGTCGTGAGCGATGCAGTTGCGGACCAACATATCAAACTTGTTCTCGTCATCCTTGATGGCCAACACCATAGTCATGGTCTGTCCAATCTTGACAATGCCGGCCACCTCACTGGCCCAGGGTCCCTTTCCCACCTGGATCTGCATCCAACAGCCCACGTTATCACCGGCGAAGTCAGCCCTCACCACATCGAGCATATCGACGGGAAAGGGTCTAAAAGTGACGGCCTTTTCGTACTGGTCGTGCCACGTGCACCGCAGTTTCCTCGCCTGATCCCACACCTCCTGCACCTGAGCGTCGTATTGGATGACAATCGTGTTCTCGAAGAAGGTTCCGCTACCACTCTGTGAGCCATAGCCATACAATCCGTTTTGAGTGTTTCCAGTGGTTCCGCAACTGTTGATTGAGATGTCAAAGAAGACACTGTTCCTCCCGGAGCCGGCCGGCAGATGAACGCAATTGCCATAACTGTAGTGCCCTTTGCTGAAGATAATGCCATTGAACTGTTTGTCGAACTCTATGGCCACTTTCATCAGGTTCTTCTCGCACTTGACGTCCAAGTGAACAATTTTGGGCATTTCCGGCATTGGCAGAGGCCAGGGGTCGTTCCCTCCTTGCGGTCCGGCGGCCACACCTAATCATTAAGTATTGATATTTAAATTATAATCTCATTTTAAATGTCTATATTATTAGATATTCTGTTCACAACTTATATAATGAGATAATTATTATGTGTTTAAACAAAGAGATAACAATTGCCTTGAAATTGTTGTTGAGGTGGAGAGCCATGCACTTCCGGCCCATATTCCACATAATTATTCTCAATGGGAAAGCCTCCGTGTTTTT